AAGAGGATAATTCAGTAACTCTGAATTAAGGTAACCACATAACACAGTAACTGTGTTGTAAGGACAATGACATGGTTAACAAGTTAACGAGGGTAACAGGTCACAGCAGTAACAGGTTAACAGGATGACACTGTAGCAGTGTCAGATGTACCATGTTACAGAATGACAGGCTAACAGGCTAACCAAGGTAATGGATCAAAGCAGTAAGAATTTCAAAAGAAGACAAGGAAACAGTGTAGCGTTCTGTCAAATGTATATAGTGACGGGCTGATGGTCAAACAAGTTAAAGAGGATACAAAGTAAGAGGAGTGAAAATGTAACAGGATGACAGGCTCACAGTGTAGCGTACTGTCAGCTGTACAGTGTTACAGAATGACAGGCTAACAGGTTCAGTGTAACAGGTGAAAGCAGTAACAGGTTCAGTATCGAGTGCAGTCGGACATGTTTAGTTATGGAATTACAGGCAAATAGGCTAAAGAGGCTGAGAGATCAGGGCATGAAAGGCTATGTAGTGTGCTATCAGACAAACAGTGTTACAGAATGACAGGAAACAGGCTTAAGAGGGTGACAAGTCAAAGCAGTACCAGGTTACAGGGATGACAGGTGAATAGTGAAGCAGGCCATCAGACAAACTGTCACGGAATCACACAAAACAGGACAAAGAGGGTAACGGGTCAACTCAGTAACAGCTTAAAGGAAAGGCAGAGCACTGTTAGATGTAAAGGGTTACAGAATGATGGGCTAACAAGATAAAGAGGCTAACAAGTTATAGCGGTAACAGGTTAAAGAGATCACAGGCTAACTTGGTAGCAAACTGACAGATGTACATGGTTACGGAAGGACAGGCTAACAGGCTGAAGAGGTGAAGGATCAAAGCAGTAACAGGTTAATGACATGACAGGCTAACAGTGTATGTGCTGTCAGATATACGTGGTTACAGAATGATGGGCTAACAGGCTAAGGAAACAGAGGATCAAAGCAGTAATGAGTCGACAGGCTAATGGTGTAGCACGCTGACAGATGTACATGGTTACGGAATGATGGGCTAACAGGCTAAAGAGGTAAAGGATCAAAGCAGTAACAGGTTAACGAGATGACAGGCTAACCGTGTAAGTGCTGACAGAGATACATGGTTACGGAATGACGGGCTAACAGGCTAAAGAGGTAAAGGATCAAAGCAGTAACAGGTTAACAAGATGACAGGCTAACAGTGTAAGTGCTGACAGATGTACATGGTTACAGAATGACGGGCTAACAGGCTAAAGAGGTAAAGGATCAAAGCAGTAACAGGTTAACGAGATGACAGGCTAACAGTGTAAGTGCTGACAGATGTACATGGTTACGGAATGACGGGCTAACAGGCTAAAGAGGTAAAGGATCAAAGCAGTAACAGGTTAACGAGATGACAGGCTAACAGTGTAAGTGCTGACAGATGTACATGGTTACAGAATGACGGGCTAACAGGCTAAAGAGGTAAAGGATCAAAGCAGTAACAGGTTAACGAGATGACAGGCTAACCGTGTAAGTGCTGACAGATGTACATGGTTACGGAATGACGGGCTAACAGGCTAAAGAGGTAAAGGATCAAAGCAGTAACAGGTTAACGAGATGACAGGCTAACAGTATAAGTGCTGACAGATGTACATGGTTACAGAATGACGGGCTAACAGGCTAAAGAGGTAAAGGATCAAAGCAGTAACAGGTTAACGAGATGACAGGCTAACAGTATAAGTGCTGACAGATGTACATGGTTACAGAATGACGGGCTAACAGGCTAAAGAGGTAAAGGATCAAAGCAGTAACAGGTTAACGAGATGACAGGCTAACAGTGTAAGTGCTGACAGATGTACATGGTTACGGAATGACGGGCTAACAGGCTAAAGAGATAAAGCAGTGTCGGGTTTCTTATTTATATCACCACTGTTCATCTCTTAACCTCCACAGATCCAGGTCATGGGTATTTATGTGCTAACGGAGATGACAGAAGGACAGAAGGACAGAAGGACAGACGGACAGACGGACAGACGGACAGCTGAGCTGTGAGCACATTAAAGAGTGAAACAGGAACACAGTCGACTGTTTTTGTGTGTAAGAACTACATCAGGGAACCTTTACAGTGTGTTTTATACCGTATAGAGGTGATACAGTACACTCTCAGCAAAAAAGGTTCTATAGGGTTCTTTGGCTTGTAACAACAGCGGAACCCTTTGGGGTGCTATACAGAACCCTTTTCAAAAAGGTTTATAATAGAACCATCTACAACACATTCTCCACCAATCGGAAGAACCCCTTCACAATGCAAAGAACAATTTAATCAGTCATGCAAAGGGTTGTTTGAGTTCAATGTAGAACCATGTTCTTTACCAAAAAGCCCTTGGAGAACCGTCTAATTCAGTATGAGGATGATTTAACCAGGAGCTTAAACACAGCTGGAGGTTCTGCTCAGACTCTCATCGCTGTAGAAGAGCAGAGTGCAGAGTGTGTGTGTGTCATTGTGTGTGTGTGTGTGTCATGTGTGTGTGTGTGTGTGTGTCAGTGTGTGTGTGTGTGTGTGTGTGTGTGTGTCATTGTGTGTGTGTGTGTGTGTGTGTGTGTGTGTGTGTGTGTGTGTGTCGTGTGTGTGTGTGTTCTGGGCGCTGACAGTGGAAAACAGCTCCATCCCATCAATCACTGTGTGGGGAGGGGGAGCATTTTGGGAAATGTAATCCGGGACCCCGTCCCTCCATCCTGTCCGTCACCCAGAGCTCTTTAAAGGGCTCACATCACTGGAAACTGAGCTTTCTTCAGTAAAAGACACTGAATTAGCACCTGAAACTTGTTGTGATCTCACAACCCATTCAGCTACAGCAGTTTAGCTCCACCATTCAGCTACAGCAGTTTAGCTCCACCATTCAGCTACAGCAGTTTAGCTCCACCATTCAGCTACAGCAGTTTAGCTCCACCATTCAGCTACAGCAGTTTAGCTCCACCATTCAGTCTACAGCAGTTTAGCTCCACCATTCAGCTACAGCAGTTTAGCTCCACCATTCAGCTACAGCAGTTTAGCTCCACCATTCAGCTACAGCAGTTTAGCTCCACCATTCAGCTACAGCAGTTTAGCTCCACCATTCAGCTACAGCAGTTTAGCCCCACCCATTCAGTCTACAGCAGTTTAGAGGCAGCCAATCAGATTAGAGCTCATTTGCATGTATCAGTCTTACAGGCACAGTAAGAAGACCAGCCTGTGTAACTCTGAGGAGTGAAGAGAGATAAACGGAAAATAGCGATAAGTGAATAAAGAACTGGGAGAACCCAGACGTTCTGACTGAGTGACCACACTGACCGTCCAGTGAAAGCCAGTCGAGCTGAGAGCTCGGCAGAGACGCTGCGTTACGAGCACGGTACTCAAACAGAACAGACGAGGAGACAGCGTCCAGATCCTTCATCACACGGAGAGCCACCAGGCCAGCTTCATGAGCTGCAGAGAGAGAGAGAGAGAGAGAGAACAGAGAGAACAGAGAGAGGAGAGAGAGAGAGAGAGAGAACAGAGAGAACAGAGAGGAGAGAGAGAGAGAACAGAGAGAGAGAGAGAGAGAGAGAGAAGAGAGAGAGAAGAGAGAGAGCGACAGAGAGAGAGAACAGAGAGAGAGACAGAGAAAGAGAGAAAAGAGAGAGAGAACAGAGAGAGAACAGAGAGAGAGACAGAGAGAGAGAGAACAGACAGAGAGAGAGAGAGAGAGAGAGAACGGCGTTATAAGACAGAGCTCAGCGCCCTCCAGTGGACACACTGCACCGAGTTTCACACCAGCTGTACACTCACTTCACTTCACAGAGCTCGAAAAGCATTTCAGTTTAAAAAACTCACAATTATTGGCACCCTGGAGCTTTACAGCTGTGTGCAAAAGTTTGTGCGCCCCTGGTCAAATTCCATGTTTCTGATTTTTGATTTTTTGTTGTTAAAGTGTAACAAGGCATCTTTTCCTTCTGTGTATCCGCCCACAGATTGTTGTTTGGGGTTAGAACGGATTATGTTGCAGTGCATGCTGGGGACTGTAGTGCAGCTCAGGGTGAAACGGGCTGATAATAATATAAAATTAAAATAATTTTGCGGACCATGCGCTCTAGAGGGGACACACTTCATTTAATAAAAAATTACTCTGTATTTACTGAATTTAACAAACTGGGGTAAAACATAAATCACAAACGGTCGCCTGTGCAAAAGTTTTGTTTATATTTTATAGTTTATTTTTCTCTCAATATGCTGAACTCAAATAAATGTACTGGGGACAAACATAAAAAATAAAATGTCACACTTTATATTTCATGTTTTTTTGCGATTTGTTGAGTGCTACATGTTGACTTATTTTCACTGAGAAAACCAACAATGTTTAATTATGCATTTGATTGTATACAGGCCTGTATTACTTACTAATCAGTTTAACTCTCCTTTCTACAGCAGTAACTCAAACTGAAGGTTTCACAAGATAAAATCTGTATGATTTATATTTAATAGTGTCTGTTTATGTGTGTTACAGTTCAAAAAGGCACTACAACTGACTAACAGTACAGAATTCAATGAAAAAGTTTATTAATTTAAATGCCTAAAGTGACACCGCAGGTCTAAACAAGCTTATTCCCACACTCACCTGGGCAGTAGCAGCGCAGCACACCTGGCTGGATCAGCGAGGCAGGTACTGTACTCTGATCAAACATGCACGAGTACCGGCCACTCACTTCTGACCACGGGCCGGTTATCAGCACCTTCACCCCACCCTGAGAGAGGAGAGAGAGAGTTCACTCTCATATTAAAGCGGCAGGTCAACTTACCGCCCCCCCCACCCCAGGGGGTACAGGTCAACTTATACCCAACCGATTAGCATGGTGCTAAAAAAGCACAGCCTGTAGCTAAAGACAGCAGCAGGAGCTCTCAAAGCCTGGAGCTGTGTTTGGTCTCCATGATGACGTCAGCACGGACTGAATTTAGTTCAGTATCTATTCCAGAATATCAGCTCCTAACTTCATGATCTCATCATGAACTCCAGATAAGAAAACAGCATCACACAAACATCCTAACTAGACTGAATCCTAAATCCTGTCCTAACTTTAGGATGAACCCCAACAGGGTCCTCACTTCTGTTTAAGGTCCGTTTCTATGGTTTTTAGGCAGCTGAGTCAGCAGCATAGTTCACTACCAGCATAATGAGCTCCATTTATTCCTACTGTAAAACGCTGCTTTCACTGTGAGATGATTTTCTTTTCTAACTCTGCGTTTTAAAGATCTCAGACGCTGCAGACTCGATCTCCACCGCCCCTCTGATCACCTTCGTGTGTTAATGTTGATGAGGAAATATTACAGTGATGGTGGTGAATAATGAGGAGGCGGAGCTGAACGTGTGTCTGTTTATTAGGAGGAGTAACGTTAGCGCGCTCGGCTAAAGCGTTTGGGAAATGGAGACTGAAACTGGAGAGCGGCGACGCTCTGATAAATGTTTATGTATCAGCTGTGTGCATACGGTCGGTTGCTAGGTAACAGACAAGACATGTATAAACTTCTATTCCTTGTTAGCTACATTAACAGGTTTCGGCTGACTGGCTGCGTTTGTGGTGTCTGAATTATCACTTTAATGTATCGGTGGTGAAGCGCCTCACCTCTGGGTAAGACCACTCAGGGGAGAAGTCGGTGATGCTGGCCAGACGCGGGGTCTCTTCGGGTGGTCCGGAGTGTGTATGTGGCTGCGCGTGGGAGTGTGTGTGTGAGGGCGTGAGGAGCGAGTAGGGCAGGTAGGAGGTGGAGGGCATCGGCTGGGGCGGGACCATGTACCTGACCGGGAAGGCGGGCGGGGCCTGGGTGGGAGGAGTGCTCGTCTCCTCGGTGATGAGCTCAGATATGAGGTCGGGGAAAGTGGAGTCAAATGACAGCTCCGCCTCCTCGTCGCCAGGGTGGGCGGGGTCTGAGCTGTGGGCAGTGTCCATGGGCGTCTCGTCGGGTTCGAGCTCTTGGAGGATGGCGGCGTTGATGGGCGGAGACTGTTCCTCTTTCACTCGGACCGGACTGACGTTCCCGGCGTGTGTGTGTGCGTGCGAGTGTGTGTTAGCGTGCGTGTCGGAGTGTGTGAATAGGGCCGGCTGACTCAGGCTGTGCCGCAGACCTCGGACCGGCGGCCGCTGGGGGTGGGTCACCAGGAGGTCAGACTGAACCTCGTTAGGCCTGAACTCCGCCCTCTCTCCGTCAGCAGGCAGCTGATTGGTCTGTCGCTGTTTGGGCGAGAGCTGATTGGGTATAATTTGGTTAAGTTGGAGCTGACTGCCTGACAGCTGGCTCGCCTGCTGATTGGTCGACGAGTGCTGTGAAGGCAAAAGCTGATTGGCTTGTAGCTGGCTTAGTGACAGAAGACTGGGTGGGGCAGCGTTCTCCCTTCCAATCAGCAGGGCTTGTCCATCAGCATCTGGATACCGGGAGGCAGAGCTTTGGTGAGCCACGTCTAGCGGTGACGAAGCGCCCTGTTCGCCGAGGGCGGGGCTTAGCGGGCGGGTCAGCGAATCAAGGCCCAGGGAGGAGTCTAGGCACAGCGGGGGAAGGGAGGGGGCGGGGCATGAGGGTGAGAGAGAGAACGAGAGTGAGGGAGAGAGAGAGGACGAGCTGGGGGTGGAGGTGGGGGGAGAGAGAGAAGAGAGGGACGAGGGAGGAGACGTTGGGGAGAGAGAGAGGGCCAGAGAGGGAGGCTGAGGAGAGGAGGAAGGGGGCGGGGTCTGGCAGGATGGGGTGGAGTTATTCGCCTGATTAGGCGGGGTAAGGGAGGAGCCTCCATAGGTTTGGCCCTGTTTGGGGCTGTTGAGGAACGAGTCAGGGTCGAAGGGCAGTGGGGCAGAGGGAGAGGGGGCATGGCCGGCAACAGGGGCGGAGTCCGTCACTGGAGGAGGTGGAGCCATTAAGGCGGGAGACGGCGAGGGTGGGCGGAGCAAAGTGCCAGGCGCGTCTGAAATGATGCGATCCGTCAGCAGCAGTCCTCCTATCACGGGGCTTGGCAGGAGAGTAAGCGACAGAGTAGCCACGCCCTGATTAGGCGACACTGAGTGAGGGGGTGGGGCCGGGCTGGGAGGGGAGGCGGCAGTTGGAGGAGAGGGCGTGTCTGGTTTGGGCGGCACAGGTGATAGGACGATTCTTCCACCGGCATGTGTGAGTGACAGGTGGGTGGAGCCCAGCTCACCTTTAGACTCCTCCCCTCCCCGCCCCAGTGCTGTCGTCGTCATGACGATGACAGCATTCTGCGGCAAGGCCACGGTTGCCAGGCCGCTGCGCTGGTCGCTGTAGAAACCGTTTCCGTTGCTAAGGGCGATAGTTGCCGCACGCTGCGTTTGGGGCGGGCTGGAAGAGGATGAGGATGAGGAAGGGGAGGACATGTTCCCGTTGTCCGCGGCGACCGCCGGGCTGGAGCCTCCTGGCCTAACAGGAGGCGGCGCTCTCTCAGAGCCCACACCCCCAGATGAAGCCTCTCCCGACCCCAGCCTCTCTGCTGGCTCCGCCCCCTGAGCTCTCATTGGTGAGGTTCTGCACCTCGGTGAGGGCGGGGTAGGGGGAGGGGCGGCTCGGCAGTTTGGGGGAGATGATCCGATGTTTGGTGCTGTTACATCGGTGAGGAATGTTCACTCCAGGAGAACCTGCACACACACACACACACACACACACACAGACACACACACACACACACACACACACACACACATATACACACACACACACACACACACACACACACACAGACACACACACACACACACACACACACACACACAGACAAATACAAACGTGTATTAGTGTGTGTGTTAATTAGAACAGCAGTGCTCCAGATTAATGTGTCTCCATTTCACATTTGTGTGAATGTCACCTTGGTTGCAGAGGCAGGTGTGTGTGTGTTACCGTGGTTACAAAGGCAGGTGTGTGTGCATGGTTGAGGTGTGTGCTTGTGTTACCGTGGTTACAGAGGCAGAGGTGTGTGTGCGTGGTTGGGGTGTATGTGTGTTACCGTGCTTATGAAGGCAGGTGTGTGTGCATGGTTGTGGTGTGTTACTGTGGTTACAGAGGCAGGTGTGTGTGCATGTTACCGTGGTAACAGAAGCAGGTGTGTGTGCATGTTACCGTGGTAACAGAAGCAGGTGTGTGTGCATGTTACCGTGGTAACAGAAGCAGGTGTGTGTGCGTGGTTGGGGGTATACGTGTTATCGTGGTTACAGAGGCAGGTGTGTGCGTGGTTGGGAGGGTGTGTGTGTTACCGTGGATACAGAGGCAGGTGTGTGTGCATTACCGTGGTTACAGAGGCAGGTGTGTGTGCGTGGTTGGGGGGGTATGTGTGTTGCCGTGGTTACAGAGGCAGGTGTGTGTGCATTACCGTGGTTACCGAGACAGGTGTGTGCGCGTGGTTGGGGGGGTATGTGTGTTACCATGGTTACAGAGGCAGGTGTGTGTGCATTACCGGGGTTACAGAGGCAGGTTTGTGTACATTACTGTGGTTCGAGGCGGGTATGTGTGCGTTACCATGGTTACAGAGGCAGGTGTGTACGCATGGTTGTGGTGTGTTACCGTGGTTACAGAGGCAGGTGTGTGTGCATGTTACCGTGGTAACAGAAGCAGGTGTGTGTGCGTGGTTGGGGGTATACGTGTTATCGTGGTTACAGAGGCAGGTGTGTGCGTGGTTGGGAGGGTGTGTGTGTTACCGTGGATACAGAGGCAGGTGTGTGTGCATTACCGTGCTTATGAAGGCAGGTGTGTGTGCATGGTTGTGGTGTGTTACTGTGGTTACAGAGGCAGGTGTGTGTGCATGTTACCGTGGTAACAGAAGCAGGTGTGTGTGCGTGGTTGGGGGTATACGTGTTATCGTGGTTACAGAGGCAGGTGTGTGCGTGGTTGGGAGGGTGTGTGTGTTACCGTGGATACAGAGGCAGGTGTGTGTGCATTACCGTGGTTACAGAGGCAGGTGTGTGTGCGCGTGGTTGGGGGGGGTATGTGTGTTGCCGTGGTTACAGAGGCAGGTGTGTGTGCATTACCGTGGTTACCGAGACAGGTGTGTGCGCGTGGTTGGGGGGGTATGTGTGTTACCATGGTTACAGAGGCAGGTGTGTGTGCATTACCGGGGTTACAGAGGCAGGTTTGTGTACATTACTGTGGTTCGAGGCGGGTATGTGTGCGTTACCATGGTTACAGAGGCAGGTGTGTACGCATGGTTGTGGTGTGTTACCGTGGTTACAGAGGCAGGTGTGTGTGCGTGGTTGGGGAGGGTATGTGTGTTACCGTGGTTACAGAGGCAGGTGTGTGTGCATTACCGTGGTTACAGAGGCAGGTGTGTGTGCATGGTTGTGGGGTATGTGTGTTACCGTGTTACAGAGGCAGGTGCGTGTTTATTACCGTGGTAACAGAGGCAGGTGTGTGTACATGGTTGGGGGGGATGTGTTACCGTGTTACAGAGGCAGGTGTGTGTTTATTACCGTGGTTACAGAGGCAGGTGTGTGTGCATTACCATGGTTACAGAGGCAGGTGTGTGTGCATGGTTGGGGGGGTATGTGAGTTACCGTGTTACAGAGGCAGGTGTGTGTTTATTACCGTGGTTACAGAGGCAGGTGTGTGTGCATTACCATGGTTACAGAGGCAGGTGTGTGTGCATGGTTGGGGGGTATGTGAGTTACCGTGTTACAGAGGCAGGTGCGTGTTTATTACCGTGGTTACAGAGGCAGGTGTGTGTGCATGGTTGGGGGGGTATGTGTGTTACCATGGTTACAGAGGCAGGTGCGTGTTCATTATCGTGGTTACAGAGGCAGGTGTGTGTGTGGTTGGGGTGTGTGTTTGTGTGTGTTACCATGGTCACAGGGGCAGGTGTGTGTGCGTGGTTGGGGTGTGTGTGTGTGTTACCGTGGTTACAGAGGCAGGCGTGTGTGCGTGGTTGGAGTGTGTTACAGTGGTTACGGACGCAGGTGTGTGTGCGCGGTTGGGGCGTTTGTGTGTGTGAGTGCGTTACCATGGTTACAGAGGCAGGTGTGTGTGCGTGGTTGGGGTGTGTGAGTGCGTTACCATGGTTACAGAGGCAGGTGGGTGTGCATGGTTGGGGGGTGTGTGTGTGTGTGTGTGTGTGTGTGTGTGTGCGTTACCATGGTTACAGAGGCAGGTGTGTGTGCGTGGTTGGGGTGTGTGTGTGTGTGTGTGTGTGTGTGTGTGTGTGCGTTACCATGGTTACAGAGGCAGGTGTGTGTGCGTGGTTGAGGTGCGTGTGAGTGCGTTACCATGGTTACAGAGGCAGGTGTGTGTGTGTGTGTGGTTGGGGTGTGTGTGTGTGTGTGTGTGTGTGTGCGCGTTACCATGGTAACAGAGGCAGGTGTGTGTGTGTGGTTGAGGTGTGTGTGAGTGCGTTACCATGGTTACAGAGGCAGGTGTTTGTGCATGGTTGAGGTGTGTGTGAGTGCGTTACCATGGTTACAGAGGCAGGTGTGTGTGCATGGTTGAAGTGTGTGTGAGTGCGTTACCATGGTTACAGAGGCAGGTGTGTGTGCGTGGTTGGGGTGTGTGTGTGTGTGTGTGTGTGTGCATTACCATGGTTACAGAGGCAGGTGTGTGTGCGTGGTTGAGGTGCGTGTGAGTGCGTTACCATGGTTACAGAGGCAGGGTGTGTGTGTGTGTGGTGTGTGTGTGTGTGTGTGTGTGTGTGTGTGTGCGTGCGTTACCATGGTTACAGAGGCAGGTGTGTGTGCGTGGTTGAGGTGTGTGTGAGTGCGTTACCATGGTTACAGAGGCAGGTGTGTGTGCGTGGTTGGGGTGTGTGTGTGTGTGTGTGTGTGCATTACCATGGTTACAGAGGCAGGTGTGTGTGCGTGGTTGAGGTGCGTGTGAGTGCGTTACCATGGTTACAGAGGCAGGTGTGTGTGTGTGTGTGTGTGTGTGTGTGTGTGCGTTACCATGGTTACAGAGGCAGGTGTGTGTGTGTGGTTGAGGTGTGTGTGAGTGCGTTACCATGGTTACAGAGGCAGGTGTGTGTGCATTGTTGAGGTGTGTGTGAGTGTGTTACCATGGTTACAGAGGCAGGTGTGTGTGCATGGTTGAAGTGTGTGTGAGTGCGTTACCATGGTTACAGAGGCAGGTGTGTGTGCATGGTTGAGGTGTGTGTGAGTGCGTTACCATGGTTACAGAGGCAGGTGTGTGTGCATGGTTGAAGTGTGTGTGAGTGCGTTACCATGGTTACAGAGGCAGGTGTGTGTGCGTGGTTGGGGTTTGGTCTGTTGCGACTCCAGGATCTGCTGCACCAGCTGCTCTATAGAGAGCTCCGCCCCATTCCCACAGGACCACTTCATACTGTGGACTACACACACACACACACACAGTGTAAGTTCCTCTGGTTCTAGATAAAGCTCAGATTAAGTTCTTATCTCTGAGGGTTTAAGTTCTGATTGGTTAGTCACACATGAGTTCTGACTGGTGACTGAATATTGAGCTCTGATTGGTTACTGAGCTCTGATTGGTTACTCACACATGGGTTTGAGCTGTGAGATGAGCTCGTCGCGGCTCCAGCGGAGTCCGTCCCGGCGGTCAGTGACGGCACAAAGAACCGGCCCACACGCCTTTCCCACTGTCCTCCACACTCGGCACATTCAGATAGTGGACCAGTACGATGTCCGGGTTCTACACACACACACACACCACACACACACACACAGACAAGTCTCTCAGAAATGTCTTTCAGAGACGATATGAACAAACTCCAGTCCAGTCCAGCAGCCAGTCCACATTTCTTGTTTTCCAGTTAGGCTGTAAATCTCTGACTCAGAATGATTAGATTCATATAATTCCTTAAGAAAGAATCCATCATAAAAATCTGATTCAAAATAATTCAATCTGATTTGATTTTAACTATGTTGGAAACGATTAAGTGCATAACGAAATCTCAAGGTTTACGATTATTTGATTTGATTCAATTACATTCTGATTCTTTAAGAAACGATTCTGTTCATCAGAATCTCACATTTCGCCATAATTTGACCGAATTACGATTCTTTTGCAAATGATTCAGTAGATCATGAAATATAAAGAAATTCACAGTGATTTGATTCCATTCGAATCAGACTCTTTAGGAAGCGATCTTTGTGCATCCTAATATTTAAATTATGTCATGATTCAATTAGATTTGAGTAGAATACAATTCCTTATCAGTGATTGAGTGAATCTTGAAATCTCAGACTGTAGCATGATGTGGCTGAATTAGATTAGATTTCGATTCTTTGGGAAACGATTCAGTGCACTGTGAAACCTCAGATCCCACCATATTTCCATTCAATTCCAACATTTTGGTACAGTTCTGAAATTTTTTAAGTGGTCCGCAAGGTGGTCCTCCTGGGCTGGACTGAGACCCACCCCCCTCCCCCCAGGCGCTGAAGTTTCTACTAATTAATAGGAGCCCGTCATCACTGTATAAATCAGATCATACTGGTGTCTGACTTCAAGAGCTCTGATTCATCACTGCAGTTTCTGATGTTCACTCACTACATACAGCACAAACAACCATCTCTGCGTGTGATTGGACGAAGCCAGGTCATGTGATCTAAACTTACCTGCAGCAGCCAATAGCACCTCCTGTGGAATGTAGGGACAATAGAGGAATGGACATAACAACCGTACAGACACTGCGGGGAGAGAGAGAGAGAGAGAGAGAGAGAGAGAGAGAGAGAGAGAGAGAGGGAGAGGGAGAGAGAGAGAAGCAGTTTATGATCAGTACTGAGAAATAAGGTAGTTGTAATAGTAGAATATATTGAATTAAAGGGTCGATATCATGGAAAACTGACTTATTTTGGAAATAAAAGAGCTTGACGTGGTTTATAAACATTGACTCCATTATATCCAGCCCATACACAGAAACTAAGCTGCAGAAACAGCCTGTTTTGAATGAATTAGTTTTTATGACATCACAAAAACTGCCCATTCACATACAGCATATCAGCCTATTCAGCTCATAGCAGTTTAGCCCTGCCCATTTACGCTGAACTTAAAAGGAATGTTTAAGACTTTCTGAATGTAGCAGAATGCAGAGCAGCCAATCAGAACAGAGATCAATTACATATATCAGCCTTAAAGGCACAGTAACAACAACAGCCTGTTTAGTTCTGATGGATAAAGTTAACTACATAAACCATTAACTACATAGAACCGCCATAACGTCCCAAACATCAACAGAAGAGCGTGTTCTACCTCCGTGCCCTGCACCTTCAGCTTCATGTGATCCTCTCTTGTCGTCTTTCCGTCTTTCCTCTTCTTCCAGCAGTATCCATCCTTGCGGTACTGCACTTTCTTCCTGTTGTAGAGGAAGATCGAGCCGTTCTGCGGCCTGCGCACACAGGACAGAGGACAGAGGACACAGGACAGCGGACACAGGACAGAGGACACAGGACACGGACACAGGACAGAGTGAGGGTTAATACAGAGTTCATACAGAGGGAAACAGGAGTTTATCAGTGCTGGACGGGATGGTTAGAGCGAGGCCTTCAGGTCATGAATGGAAAAAAAACCCACATCTATGATGATGCTGGTTCACGATAGCGTGAGGCCAGTGCCCAGTGATGGAGTTACCATGGTGACAGCGTCCGGTGATGGTAAAGTGCCTTTACTGCCTTTTCATTTACTGTTTTATTTCATGCACACATGAATATGACTGAACCGTTAAACACACTGAGTGATGTGATACATTAACACCACGTTTACTGTAAATAATGTGGAGAGTACAGATGTTCTGTATATGCAGCTGAGCGAAAAGCTGCCCGTGTTAAAACCTTTACACACAAAACATGACTTATTCATGTGATTTATTCAGATTCTGATGATCTTGCATGCCAAACGGGATTTTCAGACCGTGAAAATGTGACATTATTCACACATTTTTCTCTTATTTTAATAAACTTCTGCTGGCATCATGAACTAACTGACCAATCACGGTCATCCAAGATGACCAATTGGCTGGAACTGGAATATTTTCACCAAAACTAAGGGATCAGAATCTTAAAGTCAGCTCAAACTGAGCTACAAACACTGAGTTACGTGTTGAAGAGTTTCAGCTTCTGAATGAAGTGATGAAGCTCTTCATGATAGTCGCTTCTCTAACATGAACAGAAGCCCAGCATCACGGTTTCTCCATTCTGTGAGGAGTGAAGGATCTTATTTGCGCTTGAAGACATTCAGGCCGTTTGCTCGCCTGGTTGGAGCTGCATCTCCAAACGTAGCTCAGACTCAGACTGAGTTCCACAGATCAGAGCTGTGAGTGAAAGAGCTCGTACAGTTTCAGCTCCTGAATGAGGTGGAGAAGCTCTCCGTTCTCCTCTCGCTTTTCCAAAGTGAGAACCATCCTGCACAGTCACAGTTGTGTTGTGTTTGGTGTGGAACAGCCTTCGCTGTGTTTAGAACACACTGTGAAATGTTTATTAAGTTTTAATACTTTATTCCTGCTCTTTTCAAAATGTTACGCTCTTGTTTACGGCTACAAATAAGAAAACTTAACTAGCACAGCTTCACATGGCTGCTGAACACTGAAGCAGGCTGAAGGTGTGAAAGTGTCCAGATGTGTTTACTGAGTATTTAGTAAATCTCAGAGGAAAGAAATACTCTAAATGAGATCTCCTCTTCTTCTCAGGTTCTTCTCCTGGACCTGGTTCAGTCCAGTTTGAGATCAGAGTGAGACTGAAGCCGTTTTCTCCTGTTTCTGAAATTCGGCTCCTGAGAAACAAAACTCAGATTTTCTCACTTTGATCAAAATGTGGAACACGTGGATTAACTCTTTAGTATCTGACTCAGTCTGGGCTGAATAATATCTCCCTACAGCTCTGTTCTAGATCACAGAACCCTCTCAGCGGTCTGTCAGTGCAGAAGGAGAACTCACGCTTTTCTCCTTCATCACCAGAACTTCTCACAATGAAACACTGATGTTAATCTCCTCTTTTCACCTGAGGAGGTTCAGGAGAAACAACTCAGAAATCATCATTTATACAATATTGAGATCTGCTTTATTTCTTTGAGACGTCTAACATTGTTAGGTAAGACATCTCTTCTCTGGGATGCCTCTAGATGCCTCTAGATGCCTGTAGAGAGAAGCGGTAGTAATCTACACTGTGTGCACACACGACAAGCGACACAGTTTTGTGTATCTGTGTACATCATTCAGAAATGAAGGAGGTGTTCGTGCTGAGAACGTCTCCTCCAGATTACGGGATTTTAATGGCAAGTATAAATCTGTGCACTCTGATATGACACTGCTTAAAATCAGCTGCAGGATGTGACTTTATTGAGGTCTCTGCTAAAACTCCCACAGGAGACACAGGCGAGATCACTGAGCTCTTTATCTCAGGAGAAACACCTGAGCAGCAGATCAGGCTTCAGGTAACATCTAACACTTCCATCTGACCTCACTGCTGTCCAGGAGACACTACAGAGACATTAAAGAGATATTTGATTACTCTCTCTGTGTTTCAACTCACCTGGTCTTGAGTGTGCAGGAGAGCCACTCTTCATGTCTGTCAAACGAGATCAGGTACGACGCAATCTCCTAAAACACAAACACAGGACTGAGGTCACGTCTCTACAGAACCCAATCACCACACGCCTTACGGTACATCACAAACTGTAACGTCCAGGCAGCCTGCTAGGCCTCGTCCGGCCGCGAGGAGAGCCACAACTGAGTAATGAATCTGACGGACACTTTGTCTCACTTCTGACGTTGTCTTACTGTCTGTGAAAGGCTTTTCTGCAGTTTAAGCTGAATCCTCACACCATTTACACAGAGCCTCATCTGAAGCCGTGATTGGTCAGAGGCTCATCTGCATACAGCAGCCTTCTGTGATAGCCGACGCACCTCATTGGTGTTCCAGCGCAGTCTCTCTTTGGGCAGAGTGCTCGTCCGGGGTAAACACTCCAACAGCTTATTGGGCAGAAACACCTTCATCTGGCGATTATTCTCTGCAACATAATCAATATCATTCCTCAGTCACCATCAAAAACATCTGTCAATCAGAAAAATTCTCCTCGATCACAATCACTAACATTCTCCAATCATAACCAGAGACATGTTTAAAGAAGAGTCAATAACATTCCTCAAATGTGATCAAAAACTTCTCAAATACAAATACAATCAATTACATTCTCTGATCACAATCAATAACATTCCCTGATCACAATCAATAACATTCTCTGATCACAATCAATTACATTCTCTGATCACAATCAATTACATTCCCTGATCACAATCAATAACATTCCCTGATCACAATCAATAACATTCCCTGATCACAATCAATTACATTCTCTGATCACAATCAATAACATTCCCTGATCACAATCAATAACATTCTCTGATCACAATCAATTACGTTCCCTGATCACAATCAATAACATTCCCTGATCACAATCAATAACATTCTCTGATCACAATCAATTACGTTCCCTGATCACAATCAATAACATTCCCTGATCACAATCAATAACATTCTCTGATCACAATCAATAACATTCCTAAAACGTAAACAGATCCTGTTGTCCTGAGGTTTACAGCGGTAATGACAGTGTGATGAGGGGTACAGCGGTAATGACAGTGTGATGAGCGGTACAGCGGTAATGACAGTGTGATGAGTGGTACAGCGGTAATGACAGTGTGATGAGGTTTACAGCAGTAATGACAGTGTGATGAGGTTTACAGCGGTAATGACAGTGTGATGAGGGGTACAGCGGTAATGACAGTGTGATGAGGTTTACAGCGGTAATGACAGTGTGATGAGCGGTAGAGCGGTAATGACAATGTAATGAGTGGTATAGCGGTAATGACAGTGTGATGAGCGGTACAGCGGTAATGACAATGTAATGAGCGGTATAGCGGTAATGACAGTGTGATGAGCGGTACAGCGGTAATGACAATGTAATGAGCGGTACAGCGGTAATGACAGTGTGATGAGCGGTACAGCGGTAATGACAGTGTGATGAGCGGTACAGCGGTAATGACAGTGTGATGAGTGGTACAGCAGTAATGACAGTGTGATGAGTGGTATAGCGGTAATGACAGTGTGATGAGTGGTACAGCGGTAATGACAGTGTAATGAGTGGTACAGCAGTAATGACAGTGTGATGAGTGGTATAGCGGTAATGACAGCATGAGGAGAGGTACAGCGGTAATGACAGTGTGATGAGTGGTATAGCAGTAATGACAGTGTGATGAGTGGTATAGCGGTAATGACAGTGTGATGAGCAGTAATGACAATGTGATAAGTGGTACAGCGGTAATGACAGTGTGATGAGGGGTACAGCGGTAATGACAGTGTAATGGGAGGTACAGCGGTAATGACAGTGTAATGAGCGGTACAGTGGTAATGACAGTGTAATGAGGGGTACAGCGGTAATGACAGTGTAATGAGCGGTACAGTGGTAATGACAGTGTAATGAGGGGTACAGCGGTAATGACAGTGTAATGAGCGGTACAGTGGTAATGACAGTGTAATGAGCGGTACAGTGGTAATGACA